GCTTCGTGTACACAAGTTCCTTAGAAATTCTAGTGGAGGGGACTTGCTTGTGGACTTCTTTTACTCCAAAATTAGCCGAAGGGGAGACATTTGAGTGTTTCTAGATGTTTTGACTATTGGAGAAGACCTGGGATACAATGGTATTTTCCCCTTTAAGATAGAAGTGTGCCCAAATGATAACCAGAAAACTTTTTATAAATAGGTAGGGTGAGGGGTGAGGGGGCCGACTTCTAACTTAAGAAAAACTTTTAGAGAAATAATACAGGCACACCTCCGGTCATACCCCCCTCTAGCTACAGTGCAGGAGGGCCAACTTGAGATTGCACTGTAGCTAGAGGAGGGTGTGGTCAGAGGTGCATCCGAGGGTGTGCCTGTAGCGCCTCCCGAATTTTAAAAAGAAAAGGGATTCATATATATAACTCTTTATGTGTGTTTTATTAAATACCATAAGCTAGCTGACGATCCATTTTGCAAAATACATAAGAAGTGAATTCAGCTTATTATTTCTCTAAAACTTGGCCTTAAAACTTTCCTGTGAAGTAAGTAGTGATTTGGCTTTGAAGGGTTGGTTGCTTGCTTACCAAACCTCATCAAGAATAATCTTTTTCATGATTAATAAACTAAGCGGTGGTTGGGCGCTAATGATGGAGTATCCTTTAAATTAGTACGCTCTTAATAGTTCAAAATCTCCATTAGTACGAAGTTTCACGTGTTTTGTACGCCCTCTAGTGGTCATTAAAGTCGGCATATTATTCTTAACTACGACGCTGTAGACGTATTAGCGTAGTCCAACTCGGCAAGCTGCTAACATACATAATAGCACTCGGCTAAAATAACTTTTCAATAGACTCGTATGTACGTCGTCGTAGGTGCATTGCACGTGATGCATGATACAGTATAGATTAACATATGTTATTAGATTAGTTTTTAATGTTAAATTTATAATTTAAAAAAAAAGTTTTAGGGGGTTATCTGAAAACAACAAATTAAAACTTTAGGGATCCGCTCTAATATTGTATCAACATAAGTTTCCTATGAAGAAGATGACTTCCAAAAAGTATCCTTACGGTCCATAACTCGCAGTTTCTACGTAGTGGTTCACTTTAGATTAAATTTAAGGATGCTTTAATGTTATCTAATTTCTTATATTGTTAAATTGAGTACACATCATTTTTATTTAATCCTGGATATCTTGTAATTAAACTTTCCTATTGACTCTTCATCTACTCGAATAATTTGATTATTCATCCTCCTATATTTTTTTTTCTAGAAGTTATTCTTTAGTGCCCATTCTCTCCTTTCATGGGAGCCCAAATCAAAATAGTTACCTGCTATATTAGCACACTGTACAGAATTTGTATAGCATTAGGCACAGTTCTATGGTATAACTAAGACGTGTCGAAGTGAAGGCCCTAGGGATTATTGAACGTAAATATTTGCACGAACCCATGCAAACAGGGTTAAAAGCAGTAGATAGCCTGGTTCCTATAGGCCAGTTCCACAAGCTGTACTTCCTAGTACTGTATTTGAAGCTGTTGTTCGAATTCATTATGATAAGCAACTGAAACAAGTTCTCGCTAATGGTAAAAAAAAGGTCTTTGAATGTGGGGGCTGTTCTTATTTTACCCGAGAGGTTCGAATTAGCCCCCCCCGATCGTATTTCTCCCGAGGTGAAAGAAAAGATAGGAAATCTGTCTTTTCAGAATTGTCGTCCCGATAAAGGAAATATTCTTGTGATACGTCCTAGCGCCCTTCTTTATCTCTAAAGACGGGGTATCCTAACCATCCAATAGCTATTCCATCCCCGCTGTCCGTTGAGCTCGCTCTGAATAATCCCCACAAGTTAAGTTCCTATTCTTCTAAATAAAGAACATGAAGAAATTATTGGTTAGACATTTCTCATATTTAACTTAGCCATGACAAAAATTGTGTCTTTCTACATGCATAAAGAGGCCTTTGCATAATATAATCGTGGTTAGTTTCTCTAAAACATTATCTTTCATCATATTATTGTATATGCATAACTCTATTTTCGAGCTAGATGGTAGTTATGTAAAACAAAATTAAGAATAAGTGCTTAACCCAAAATACAATTTCATGGGAACCCAAAAGTCCTCACAATATAACTAAATAATTAGTGCTTAACCAAAAACAAAATTTCAAGGGAACCTCATTAGAACCACACAAACTTTAATACTTATAGTTATTGTGAATTATTAAAATTAAGAGGGTATAAAAAGAAATCAAAAGTTTTAACATAGAAATCCTCTTTTATAGTAGTATAGATATAGATATAGATATAGATTATGACTTTATTTAATTAGCACTTATATACCCTCACTTGTATTTCACAATATTTATAAATCCACTATTATGCAATTTAAAAAAATTAACTTGAATTTTCGTATATGTCACTGGTATGTTAATTTCGAAACTTTCTAACTATTGATACTTGTCAAATTCATCGCTAAGCCTATCTTTAGTCTGTTTTAAATAGAATCAAGATAAGTTTAAAATAAAATTTTGATAGATGTGACAAAAAAATTAACAACTAGAAATAGCTAAAAAATTCTAAAATTATCATGTGAGTATTATAAGGGAGAAAAAAAAACTTTCACATCAGCATAAAAAAGAATACTAACACGCTATTTTTAAACAACTTAGGAAATATTTATGCGTAATTTGCTTCACAATACCACCTAACTATAGGAGTTCCATAAAATCTCTGTGAACGTCAAGAAATTAGAATTGACAAGTTAAATGGTTTGTTGCTCACTGTCAAATGTTATGAAAAATGTTGGCATGATTTAACTGATTAAGAAAATTGTTGTTTAGGTATTAACCTTTTTCTATGCCAATTACAATTTCTCGAAGTCAGGAGTTGTCAATCTCTCCAAAGTGCAGAGAGTTTTGTTGAGATTACAAAGCTCATGAAGGTCCTGTGTAAAACCTTAAAAATATTTGGGGGTTTTGTGAAAATTTACCTTTTGTTAGGCTTTTATGGCAATTCTTTCTTT